CAAAAAGAAAAGGTCACAAAAATGTCTACCTTCTCAAACAAACATTCCATTTCTGAACCATCACCGAAATATCAGGGCCAACATTCCAGAACTCAACTGGGATTCAAAATGCACAATTAACTGAGCATAAGACTGAAGAACATCACGAAGAATGGGTGGGTACAAATAAATTTGAGCCTTTATCCTTTGCTTCTTAAACCGTGAACCAAGCCATGTTACAACCTTTAAAAGTCCTAGCTGAAGCATGGGTTAGTTCGAGAGCATACTGTTACAAAGGTATCCTGACTCCTGTAAGGTTTGCTATAAATCATGAGTTGATATCACATTCTTGCAAATTTTGTTTTACTACAAAAAACGCATTTTCAAAAAATTTCAAGACAGGCATAAGCTTTGCATTCTTTAAATGACATTGTTTGCATATGGTTAATTGTTCAAATGACAAAGAAATTCACACAATGAATATTCAGTGAATGAAGACCCCTCAATGGATAGAATCACCTCAGACAGAAAAAACATTCCCAATAACAAACCTTTCATAATCAAGGGGCATGACATGGTGTCTAATTAATCTGGGGCAGTCAAGCCAATATGCAAAGAATCTCTCCAAAAATGCTGAATAGCCAGGGGCAGATCTCCATCTGAATCACTCGGGGGCTGTTACATTGATCAGGGATTCCAGCAGAAAATCACTGAAATTTGAATCTTTGGTACCACCAAATTGCTTGTCTGTGCCCGTAGTATCAGATGGTGTCAGTATCATATCTTCGAATCCTTCCATGACAGTTCTTAGAAAAGATACCTAGGAAATTCAAGACTATCAGAAACTTGATCAAACATCAGGTGCACCAGATTCATCCTGAAGCAGCCCCACACAAGCTCCCACGTATGAAAGGGTACATGCGATCACATAAACATTTTCTGGCATTTCTACAACACTTGTTGTCATGGACGGTGACAACTCTCCATATCCTATGAGTGCGAACATAGTCATAAAATACTACGTTGGAAAAAGACCTGCTAGGTTGACAGGCCTAGGCAAAATTAAGGGCATCCCGGCGAACCAAAAGAGTCCGGGCATAAATTAGGGATATATACAAAAAAAATTGTACACTCAGCAAGTCGAAAACCTGAAAAGGTGGCTTGAGCAAAAAAGGGTATCCCGGTGGACTGAAAATCCGAAAGGGCAGTCCAGGAAAAAGTTAACGATTAAAAATGTACGACTATGTCCTATCATCTTGTATTTTGTTTATCAGTAGAAGACTTATCATCCAGATCAACATTTACTAAGCACCCCAGGAGTTGGGATGACACTCAAACCATCCATAAAGTCTCTGCATGTACTTTCTCCAGCAGGTACAGAGGCATGGGCATCTTACTAAAAAGTCGCCTCCATATCCTCAGCTTATAACCTAGTGATGTCAGGTGTTCTTGTATCCCCAGCAGAACAGGAATTTCTAACTACTGCTCCGACATCAGGTTTTCCCCAGTAAAGTCGTCAAACATCTCAGGATTCCCCAATAGGATTTCACAAAATCCTCAGGAAGTGCACAGAGCTTTCCTTCCCCAATAGAGTTTATTTCTCTAACAACGGAAGATCATCTCCCAGTAGTTCAACTTCAACAAAATCTGAAGACCACATTCTTCATCGCCAGCTGCAATCAGGGATTTATTTTCCCTAATTCAATAACGTTGCAATAGAACAATTGATACATTCACATATTGCATTCATACATCATTCTACAAACGTCATAGCATCTGCAATACAAATGCATACATCCCAATCTCATTTATTTTGAGAACACCATTACACAATGCATTTCATACATCATGACATTGCATACAACTGACACTTTACCTTTTCAGGAAAGATCAATCAACAGATATTTATCATCAACAATTTTCAACAGGTCCAGGATTAGCTCCTGAAACAAAACAGAGTAATTATCTATGCAACCAAATACAACTTTACACGGGCTCATCATGAAGCAATCTTACACGGGTTTCTTCTGACTTCCAAATACAGCTTTACACGGGCTCAACATGAAGCAATCTTACACTGGTTTCTTATGACTTCTAAATACAGCTTTACACGGGCTCATCATGAAGTAATCTTACACGGGTTTCTTCTGACTTCCAAATACAGTTTTATACGGGCTCATCATGAATTAATCTTACACGGGTTTCTTCTGACTTTCAAATATAGCTTTATACGAGCTCTGCATGAAGCAATCTTATACGGGTTTCTTCTGACTTCCAAATACAGTTTTATACACGCTCTTCATGAAGCAATCTTACACGATTTCCTTCTCCCTCCTTCTGAAGTTTTACATGTACTCATCCTGAAGTAACCCTACTCAGGTTTCTTCTCACAATATCCAGATGCAGTTTTACACGAACTCATCCTGAGGCAACCCTACCCAGATTCCTTCTCTTGAATTTCCAGATTCAATTTTACACGGACTCATCCTGAGGAAACCCTACCCAGGTTCCTTCTCTTGAATTTCTAGGTGCAGTTTTATACGGACTCATCCTGAGGAAACCCTACTGAGGTTCCTTCTCTTGAATTTCCAAATGCAGTTTTACACGGACTCATCCTAAAGCAACCCTACCTAGGTTCCTTCTCACAATCTCCAGATGCAGTTTCACACGGACTCATCCTGAGGCAACCCTACCCAGGATCCTTCTCTTGAATTTCCAGATGCAGTTTTACACGGACTCATCCTGAGGAAACCCTACCCAAGATCCTTCTCTTGAATTTCCAGATGCAATTTTACACTAACTCATCCTGAGGCAACCCTACCCAGGTTCCTTCTCACAATTTCCAGATGCAGGTTTACACAGACTCATCCTGAGGCAACCCTACCCAGGTTCCTTCTTATAATTTTCAGATGCAGTTTTACCTGGACTCATCCTGAAGCTGCCCTACCCAGGCTCCCTCTCATATATCTCCTAAAACAGCCATACCCAGGTTCCTTCTCATACACTTCCAGATGAAGTCTTAACCGGACTCATCATGAGACAGCCCTACATAGGTTTCTTCTGATACATTTACAAATAACAGTTAATTTGATTCTCCCCAGCAAATTAATGCAAAGCCTGGATTTCAACCAGAAAATAACAAACTTTCACCTCTCCAATCCAGAGATAACCCCTCAGTAGAGCCATGGACAACTGAAGTTCTTAGACTCTATTCCCCACAGAGTTTTCCTCAAACAGGAAAACAACAAAAATCAACATCCCCCAGTAGACTCCTCCTCAGACAACATGAACATGAATCCCCACAAAGAGACCTCTTATGAAGTCAGCATCTACTCTGGGTGGCATCTTTAAGCCCATCTCCGACGACTCTCTGTCATATTCTCTGGATGGCGTCTTTAAGCCCATCTCTGACGACTTTCAGTCATCTTCTCCAAATGGCATCTGTAAGCCCATTCCTGACGTTATCAACCATCAGTATTACTTCATGCGAGTGCAAATTTCTGGGCACTCTAGTGTTCAATCATCTTCCACCTTCAGATCACAAAAGGCAGACAAGCCAATCTAAATCCTCAGGTTTAAGAAGATTGAATAGGGGCAATTGTTGTACCCCAAAATTTTCCCTCCCATTTTCATACAAGACATACTCATAGAGGTCCTCAATTGCTCAAGGTTGACCAAGAATTGATTAGACAAATTATCCTTCTAAGAATTGGCCTTCCAACTAGGACGTGTGAGCCTAAAAGGTCTCAAATGTCTTCCATGGTCCTAATATGTCTTCAAGATTATCCATTGTTGTACCCCAATTTCCCCCCCTAAGATCCCTCATCATACTTTGTACATTTCATAGCATTCGTCTCATGGTTATAAGATCGAAGAGCTTTGGCATTAAGGTTTCTCTCTCTGAATGGAGGTTGGTCGCTTCAAATGAAAGGTGACTAGAATCTGTGGATTTAATTGAGATTGAGGTACATAACCTTCATTAGGTCATCTGACGCATCATGCATCATTAATCCATAGTTTGGCTTGAGATCGGGTATTTCGAGGAATTAGGTTTGTTGAATGGCTTTAAGGCTCTTATCTTCACACAAGCTAGTTTCGGTTGATTTCTCCATCAATCATTCGTTCGAATTAGGATTTTATTTCCTGGAATTCTTTATCATCAAATTACATGGATACTCTCTCTCTCTAAACTTTCAATCTCGCTACTTATCAGGATATGAAGGAGGATATGGAACTTGTTCCGATTGTCGATGTTCTTGATACCCCAGATAGATCAAATGTTAGAAACCATGATCGAAAGTGTGTAGGTAAACCTCAGAATAGGGAGAGGGCTTTTCCTATTGCTAGTGGAAAAAGTAACTGCAGCAAGTGTATAATACTGTCCCCAGATAAACCTTTTCCTTCTCAAAAGTCTTCCATATTCAGGAGAGCCCAAACTGAAAAAGTTTTTGGACTTGGAACATCGCGCTCTAGTGGAGCTGAACAGATGGAGAAAGGGAAAACTGTAAGCTCTATGATTCCTTCTAAGTCATCTCACCATGGGGGCATTCCTGTTCTCGATTTGATTGAAGAGAATGGGCAGTTAGCACAACCAAAAGCAGCTTTCTTACATCATGGATCGAGAAATAACACAATTGAAGAAAGAAAGAATTGAAAGGAGGTATTGGGAACTCTTTGTTACCCTTAATCGCAGATTCGTCTAATAAATCTAGAAATGCTGCCACTGGAAAGTGTAAACTAGATAACAAAACACTTCTAGATCCTCATTTATTTATGGACCGTGGAAAGTGCATTTTTCTGTCCAATGATTCTCAATCTCAATCTAAAGGTGAAAATAAAGTTTCTTTGCCTCCTCGTTTTCCACTGCTCCAGGATGTAGAGGGCACAAGAGATTGGTACGAAATGGTTGCATTTCATCACAAAATATTGCAAAAAGGGCAAAACAATCAACTGAACAAAGCAGCTCTAAAACCAATAATGTTGAACAGATCCGTACTGGGCATTCAGTTTCTAGAAATACAATGTCTCCAATTAGTGTTGATGATATTGTTGCTGAAGATAGAGACTGTAGTAGAGTGAAAGGAAAGGGATTACTTATTCATCCTTCATCAGATGCAATTAATGCTGGAACTATTCACAACGATAGCAGTCCCGTGGCCAATTATGAAGAGGCCAGTGGTAGCTTTAATAAACCAAGAAATTCATTTGAAACTAGGGAGAGACAAGGTGGTTGGAGAACTACACATAACGATAAGCACTTGTATGGTGTGAGTGGGCATCATTCAAGGAATAATTATAATGGTGAGAGATTTGTTCACAAACAGAATATGAACAAACAGGACCGAGTCCGAACCTACTGTGAATTCTCGAACATGACATTTGGAGCCTTGATTGCCTTCATTATAGAACATATAAATTTTCAACCATTTAAAATTACATGAAAACGACAATTTCAATCTAACTTATATATTACATCAAAGTCCATAAAACTCCATGGCATCAAGATCGTTGTTATCAGCAACTCCAAGCAGAAAACTAATGTATCTTCATCCTCTGGTGTGCTGTTCACTTTTTGAGGTTGACCTGTGGCCTAAATGAGCGCTTTTGCAAGTTGTTTGAGAGATTTAGCTTGCAGAAATTTACTCTCAGTAAATATGCTGTCAATGTGACACTTCTGTATTGTTTGAAGAGTGCGCTGATGAGCAGCAAGTTGTTGTTTGGCATAATGTTCAAATCCACAGCTGCCTGTATCAAAGTGGCCAAATCAAAACCAGTTCGGAGAAGGATCATTAAAAACCGATCCTGCAAAACCACATCACAAAGCAGCTTTTCAACTGAATTCACAACAGAATTCCTAAACAATCTCTAACTGTCTCCAACTACATAACGAAATTCTAACAAACTTCTGATAGTTTCAACTACCTTGAACCAGCTAACTAACTTTCAACAAAAATGGTATAACTAACTTATATCAATTTCAATCTCCTCTGTCAATCTATAACAGAAAAATCAGAAAACCAATTAACATCACCAATCCAAACTAATGGAAACAAGCTTCAGAAATACAAAAAGGAAAATAGGGAATCGTGAGAATAAAAAAAACTGTTTTATAACAGAAAGCCAACTCATATAACTAACCGTAACCAACTGTCCAAAAGGCTTACTAACTAACTTCTCAACAGAAACTAACTCACAACATAACATAACTGCCAACTGACTAACTAACAGAAGAGACGTCTCATAACAAACTAAATCTCAGATTAAATCTCCATCATTTATCTCCCTAACAGATTCCTGTCCAAATTCCAACTAACTCCTCTAACTCCTAACTGTGTTCTGAAAACTATAATAGAAAAGGAGAGGGAGAGGAGACACAGTTTTTTCATAATAGATAACTGATTCAGAAAAGTGAGGAAACTCACCAAAAACAAGCTCTGAAGATCTCTCTCTCTCTGCACCCCTCTCATAATTTTTCACTCTTGGGAGAATCACACTAGAAAATCACCAAGACCTTTCTCTGCTCTCTCTCTCTCTTTCTCTACAATCATTCTTCAACCCCCAAAAGAATCACACCAAAAATCTCTCTCTGCATTCTTCACACTTCCATCATCTTCTTCATATGATATCAGTGTGATCTCTCCACTTCCACTATCGGAACTTCATCACACTCTACAAACTCTGCAAACAATAAAAAAAACAACAAAACTTCATCATCAACCATCACTACAACTGTTGTATCGACATCACGATATCACACAGAAATACACACAGGAACACAATCGTGCACTGAAGAAAGAAAAAAGGAAGAAGAAGATCTACGAATAGTGTTTTGAGAGTTGAAGTTTTCTTACCTGGAATTTGTGTCAAGGCTTTCCGGATTTCTTGCGTATTTGTCATTGTCGAAGAGACACCGGAGTTCTCCGGTAGGTAAGCGATCTTCCTTTCTTCAAAACTTTTCTTCACTGTATGAATCGTGTGCATTTGTTCGTGTTATAATCGATTGAATCAATTAGAAACTCTAACCCAAAATTGAAGAGAAGACGTGGTAGTGATGAGCGATGGCAACCACGAGTTGTTGAAATTCCGATCAAACTGAAGTGCAAGGAAGGAAGGAGTGATTAAGATGGAGAAGCTCCATCGTGTTGATCAGAGTAAGATGGAGGTTGATAGAGGTTGATAGAGGTTGTTGTTGGTGATGATCAGAAAGCAAGGATGAAGAGGTGAGTAAAAATCAAGATGGAGATATGGAGAAGTAAATGGCGGTAGCCAAATGTATCACGGTGGTGGATTGCCAGCGGAATCAGAGAAAGGAAGGGTAGCCACCACATATTTAAAGAGGACAGTGGGAGACTAATCGTCACCCTCAATTGAGCCTTGATTTCATTCTTTCCCTTTTCTTTTCTATTTTTATTTTTTTAATTCTTTTTCTTTTGTATTGATATAATAAAAAATAATAATAAATAGATAATTAGATATTGGATGATGACTATTTGGGCTGGACCATTGTTGATTACACTCTCTTAAAGCCCATACCACACTTTTTTTTGTGAACTGAATGGTTGGAGCTGAACAAGAATCGCTGATGGACCTTGCAAAATGGGCCTAGCCTGTTTACTACAACATACCCCGTAGATAATTGCTTCACACCCCCTTCTGTTTAGATTTCTTCTTTAATTTTCTTTTATCAATTTTCGCTATTGAGGTAATGTTAAAAATTAGTGAGAAATATACAAAAATAGTAGAATACCTTAGAATTCTTTAGGATTTTTCTTTAGATATTTATTAAATTTTTCTATTATCTTTTTTTTTTCACGTGCATTAACCATTTTGTTGCCTTTTTTAAGAGTTTGTGATGGTATTGTTGCAACTTCTGTGATATGGAATGCTTGGAGATTAATTTGTTTGATAACTTGTGCGAAGTAGCTTCTATAGAGTTTTCTCTTTGCTTGCGTGGCTTTGAAGAGGCAACAGACCTTCTCCATTAGCTCGTACGAAGTATCTCAGATTTCTTTACTTTGGTTGTGCTTTTTGTGGATGTCATTGTTTGTTTGGTATTACACTGCTTCCAAGTTATATTTCCGCATTTATCGCTTTTCTAGATATCATGAGAAGTAGGAAATAAAGAGCGTGCACTCGAAGTCACTGTTTAAAGACATGTAGCAGACATTCCGCACTTCATTTGCTATATGTGTTGTGCTTGTGTTTGTTTACTTTCTTGTTGAACGATGAGTCACTCAATATAGAAATTGAGATCACGACATCGCTCTCAGTGCATGCTCCCTATAGGATTTTATCACTTTCCTTTATTTATTGCCGATCGATGAGTCACTCAATTTAGAAATTGAGATCACGACTTCGCTCTCATTGCCTGCTCCCTATAGGATAGTTTTGTTAGACTTTCTTTGGCATGCTAGCTTAGATAGGATCTCTTTAGGTGTGCTCTCTTGATCTTATTGTCTTGTTTGCTTTATCCCTGTACATACCATGTTCCCTTAGGATGTGCTTGCTCTGTTCGAATGCAAATTAGACCTTAGGTTGTAAACCATGCATGCTAACAGTAGGTATAAACTTCCCCTTTCATCCTTGACATAGGACTACCATTGTATGATAACATTAGGTTAGAGATAGGCTAGTCTCCCATAGACTCTTTTCTTTCCCTTTTTGCATCCTTGCATCTAAAAAAAAAACTTCTTTTCTTAGCAAATCAAAAACAGGCTAATCATACTTAAACCCTTTTTCAAGGTAACAAAAATACAAACCAATTCAAACAATTTTGTGTGCTCAAGCACCTTTTCTCTAAAACCCTTTTCAGGTAAGGACATGATTAGTTTAATTTTGTGCCAACGCATAAGTCTCCAAAGGTCGAGCTGCGGCAGAAGACAAAATTAACATTATCCATAAAAAAATACAAAACAAACAAAAACATGTGAGCCGAACTACGGTAGCTCTGATTCCTCAAAAAGGATACGTAGGCATTGAGGTAGAGCCCGAGCGAGTACAACTTTATTTTCCATACATTCTTTCTCCTTTCTTTGCATGCATTCTCTCTTAGCTCATAACCTTTAAGCATTAGATTGAACACACCCTTTGATTAGAATAACGAGAGTGGATCCCATAGAGTACTATGGACGTGTGGGGTGCTAATACCTTCCCCTCGTGTAATCGACTCCCTTACCCAATCTCTCGGTCGCAAGACCTTGATTTCCCCTTTAGGTTTTCTTCGATGATTTTCCTTTCCCTTTCATATGGGATAAATAAATACTCGGTGGCGACTTCATTGATTTTACCACTACAGAAAATGGCGACTTCGCTAGGGAGGAAACATATGTCGACCTATTGTTGGTCCATCCCGTGAGTCACTCCTAGCTCCCGTTTTTTTCTTTTCTTAGGGTGTTTGTATTTATGATTTTATGGATTATTCATTTTGTATATGTTTGAGCATATGTTTGCATTACATCTTTATTATTATTTGTTATATTGTTGCTGTGCTGGTTTCTCTGTTTCTTGATGGGTGGGATGTTACTATGAGGTAAAAGGCCCAATACCCAGGCCGAGTGAAAACCACAGGAACACTAGGAATAGAGTGGAACATGAATGACTAGTTGACTTAGGTTTCACTATGCTGCCATGTCGTCCACGCTCAGATGAGGTACAAATAAGGGGCTATCGTTTTCACGTAGGTGATATGGCAATAGTTTTTCAGGAGTACCCTCGATTCTGAGTTACCATTGACCTTACCATGACCTAGTCTTTACCCGTGAGTGGGGAGGGAATGATCTTTACAGGTACAGATGGTGACTATACACGTTCTGTTGGTGACTCTGATTATACTGATGACTTTGATCCTTGATATTATGAATTGGTCCGGACCTTTGATCTTATTGCATATGACAGTGGTTCTGTTATCAGTTCAATAGTTATCCAGTTTCGCAGAAGCTTTGATCCCATATGTTTACATATATAGCATATTAATATAATTTTCAGCATACATCTTTTTTTTCCAAACATTACTTCCTTGATTCCAATTGTTAAGACAAAAAATAAACATAAAAAATTATATATAATAAATACATGAAAAATATATAATAATATCGTGGCTTAATAACTGGAATCAAAGCGTAGAAACTTTTGGAAACAAAAGCGTGGCATTTGCATTACATATCATGTATCATGTCACATTTAACTATGCATCTCATGAGTTCCACAAAAGTCTTACTCAAGGTCCTTTGGTCGCTTGAAGCAAGTTGCCTCATCAGTACAACACTCGTGCTAAGGGAAGACGGAAAGCATTAAGCAAGAGATCTTTGAACTCCGCAAAGAAGTAACTACTTTGAAGGCTGATATGGAATATCTAACTGCTTTGGTTAAAACTTTGGTTGTCGCCCAAGTCAATCCTTCTAGGAAGGAAGAAGAGATGGCAAAATCTTCACAGAAACTCTGAAATCATTCTTTCATGAGAAGGTGATAGTTAATGCATCTGGTGAGTTCCCAGAAAAGGCGAATGTAAGAGTGCTTCTAGAAGAGGATGTCCGAAAGGAATGTTTATCTGAAGACAGTGGCATAACTAGTGGTGTGAAGAAGTTTGATAATAATTTTTCTAAGAAGAGAACCAGACGAAGAAACAATCATCGTCAGAATCAACATGTTTCTTCTATCATCCCCGTGTTCAATTTACCCCCAACCGCTCTAGTTTTTCAACAGAATTAGCAAGTTCCTGATCAGAAGAAAGCTCATTTTGATCCAATTCCAATGACTTATACATAGTTGTTTCCTATCCTAATGCAGAGGAATTTGGTTCAAAATCGACCTCCACCAAAGATTCTTGAGAAGATACCTTGGTACTACAAAGCTGATTTGACTTGTGCTTTTCATCAGGGAGCCCCTGGGCATAGTATTGAACAATGTTATCCATTGAAAGCTGAAGTCTAGAAATTGGTCAGAAGTGGTATCTTATCACTTAAAGATATTTGTCTCGAAGTTCAAGCCAAGTCTTTATCGAAGAATAAACGTGATTGAAGAATGCCCTGGATTTCAAGGATGATTAGTCTTCTCATGTTTACTAGCAATTTTACTGATTCCTCATTTGTAATTCTTCTTGTTAATCATCGTACTATTTTCATGTAAGAACTTGTTTACATTTGAATGATTATCTTAATACAATGAATATGTTTGTCTTGAAGAAATCCATTCGTTTCACTCATATTTATTTTTAATTTTAAATTGATTTTTGCATTATGATACCAACTTGTTATCTATTCTCTTGCCTAAGCATGGTTTGGAGGGAGGATGATGAATTTAAAATGCAAAATTTCTGGTTGTATGCTTTTGAATAAAACTTTGTTGACGATATATAGGCATTGTTTCAAATTCCCAAACACCAGAGATATAAGGGAGTGAAACCCTCGTTAACCCCTTTGAGCCTTGAAGCAGGATTTTCTTTTCTATTTTATAAAAAACCCTCATTTTT